CCCCCCCCCCCGACCTCGCCCAAGACCCTGGCTAATTCTCACCTTTCCCAGGACAGGTCATCTCACCTCTTGCCTCAGTTTCCCAATCTGTGAATGAAGGAACCATGGCTAGATCCCCCCTACCCGGGCTTGTTGTGAGGTTCCATGAGTTAAAGACAGACACCCAGTAAATGTGACCATTATCTCTCGCGTGCTTCTGTGCGGGCCAGTATTCCTCCCTGGGGGTGGGGGGATTTGATTCCGTGTCCCCGTCCGTGTGCCTCCGCGGAAACTCTGGTGTATCCACCTGTCGACCCGCCAGCTGTGCAACCGCGGATGAGTTACTAGACCTCTCTGCGTCTCCGGTTCCTCATCTGCAAAATGGGAGCAATGATGGACTCCATTTCCTAGGGAGGATGTGGTGATCGAGTTAATTACTCCACCTAAAGAACGCGGAACAATGCCTGGCACGCAGGCAGCCCGCAATTACGCCAGCAGCTTCATTCGGGTGTGAGCTCAACTCTGAGTGTCTGGAACATGTGTCTGTCCGCGTCTTGCAAGAATCCGGGGCAGGAAGTGCCCGTGGAAGCATACGGAGTTATTTAGGGCAGCATGGGACCAGGCCTGTGAGGGTGGCCTCTCTTTCCTCATCTGTGAAATGGGAATAACAACACACCCCACACGGGGTCGGTGCGCCGGCAACACAGGCACTGGGTGCGCAGGGCCGGGCCGCAGCGCCACCCCTGTGTGCTGCCGCCTTTCCTGGGTCTCCAAAGTGCAGATAATAGGGGCGTCCACCTCCCCTGTTGCTGGAGGACGAAATGAACCCATAAGCACTTAGAACAGCACCTAGTACACAGGAAGCACCCACTGTGAAAACTGTCGCCGGTAATCCGTGCGGAACTCTGTGCCTGTGCTTGCCTGGGCCGGTGTGGGACAGGGCCCCGGAGGATGTGGCCGCAGGCATCTGGCCCTACAGGTTCCTCCGGCACCCCACTTCCTCCGCACCCCGACCTCTTGCCCCCACCATCGCCCTACCCCTCACTCCAAAATCCCCAGGACTTCTGAGGAAAGAGGGGTTGGCAGTCCGTAACCCCTGCCCCTGTCCCGGGAGGGGGTACAGGCCCCCCCAAACCCAGGTGGGGTTGCTGCTCCCCTCTCTGCTGCTCTCTCAGGGCTTCCCTGGGGTCCCCCATCTCGTGCCTTCACATCTGTCCCTCTGCATCTCTCTCTTTCTAAAAAAAAAAAGTTTATTGGAGCACCTGGGGGGCTCAGTCAGTTAAGCATCAGACTTCAGCTCAGGTCGTGATCTCGCGGTCCGTGAGTTCGAGCCCCGCATCAGGCTCTGTGCTGACAACTCAGAGCCTGAAGGCTGCTTCAGATTCTGTGTCTTCCTCTCTCTCTGCCCCCCACCCCCCCATTTTCTCTCTCTCTCTCTCTCTCTCTCTCTCTCTCTCTGTCCCTCTCTCAAGTTTATTTATTTTGAGAGAGAGAAAGAGAAAGAGAGAGAGTGCGTGCAGGGCAGATAGGGAGAAAGGGAGAATCCCAAGCAGACTCCGCACCATCAGCACAGAGCCCTAAGCGGGGCTCGAACTCACAAACTGTGAGATCATGACCTGAGCTGAAATCAAGGCGCTTACCTGACTCAGCCACCCGGGTGCCCTGTGTCTCTCTCTGCCCTCCACCTTGGTTTCCAGAACAGGAAATGTCAGGGTCCCAAGGGTGTGGCCCAGGTGAGGGGGGAGGAGGAAGCAACAGAGGTAGGACCTCCCCCCACCTCCTACCCTCTGGATGAGAACGGGGTGGGGGCAGGAGGGGGTCTTCCTCAATTGACCTCTGAAGCCTGCCATGCCAGGTCTTGATGAGGGCGGGGAGCCCTGGTATTAGCTCTTTTGTCACACGCTTCTCCCAGGGCCAATGCCTGGGCCCTCGGCCGGCCCCGGGGAAACTGAGGCAGGAGGCTTGGGAAACTGAAGCGGGGCTGGGCGCCCGGACTCCTGGGTCCCGGCGGAGGAGAGGACCCGGACTCCTGGGTCTGAAGGGGCAGGGGACTGGGGCCCCGGACTCCTAAGTCTGAGGGCGGAGGGCCTGGGACCGAGGGCCTTCCCCCAACACACCCGTCTCTTAAATGCCCGCCGAGCGCCCCGCCC